GGTGTGCCGCACGCGTCGAGTTGGGAGAAGGCCTTGATCCCAATCTTGCGCCAGTGCACAGACGATGTCAATCCTGACGTAGACAGAGGCGACGACATTGATGTGAGGAACTACATCAAACTTAAGAAAATTCCAGGTGGTAAGCCAAAGGATACGGCATACATCTCTGGGGTGGTTTTCACGAAGAACGTCGCCCTGCGAAGTATGCCACGCAACATACCCAATCCAAGGATTGCGATCATCACTTTTGCTATCGAGTACGCACGTCACCAAGCACATTTTATGAGTCTCGAGCCTGTCATTGCGCAGGAGCGGGAGTACCTCCGCAATCTTGTCAGTCGTATCGCAGCTCTCGAGCCTCATGTCCTGCTCGTACAGCGCAACGTGTCTGGTCTGGCACTCGAATTTCTAGAGAAAGAAGGGATTGCTGTAGTCTATAACGTCAAGCCGACAGTTCTCAATGCAGTAGCGCGATGTACTAACTCGAAGATGATCTCTTCAGTGGATAAGTTGGCGATAGACCCGTCTCACCTTGGATCCTGTGGCAGCTTTGACGTCAAAACTTATGTGCACAAGAATGCGAGAAAGACTTACATCTTTCTTTCTGGATGCCAGAAAGAGCTTGGTTGTACGATTGTCTTGCGAGGTGCCGAGAGCCATGATTTGGTCAGGCTCAAACGTGTCACTGAGTTTATGACATATGTGGTGTACAACCTCAGGCTCGAGACTTGCCTGATGCGTGACGAGTTTATAGATACACCGACGGCGTCTATCACTGGTACTCTTGCCTCGAACTGTCATGATCAGGACAGCTTACAATCCCAAACCGGCACAAGTGATCCCGCTTCTCAACCTACCAGCACGTTATCCGACGGCAACAACCCACAGTCTAACGACGCTGCACCATCATACTACAGCGACATGGTCGAAAACCACCGCACTAAGATCCTCTCCTCTTCGCCTTTTGTCAAGTTCATGCAACCTTACCTGCTCGAACAGGCTCGTCAGTATGAAGCAAAGCTTGGTCATCTAAAAAAGCTCAAAAACCAATATACTGCTGATGAGAACGACGAGAAGCCAGGAGAAATTGGCCAAAAGTTCGAACTCGTGCAACCTGAGATGGTCCACACTGTAGTGGAAAAGGCTTCGAAGCAAGTGCGGGAGTTCCTATCTGCAGTGCATGCATCAGAGTACGACAAAGCGATGCATCAGTACCTGACTCAGAAGCGGCAATGGGAGCAGTATCTCTCAGGTAACACTGATCTTTACGACCCATTCAACCACCAGAAGATTGCCGTCCTATACAGTGTTGTCAATACTACAACATCAACTCCTTGCATTGGCCCGGAGATTATCGCACTTGGCTTCTATCAAGAGCACGACTACGACGATGGCTTCACACCTGACTGTACTCTAGGCCAATATGTCGAGGATCTATGCACGTCAGCTGGCGTTGCTTGTGAAGTAGGTAACTGCGACCGAAGAATGCTCGATCATTCCAGACAATACGTGCATGGTGAAGGTCAGATGACGGTTATCGTCCAAAAGCATCCGGCAAAGATAAAGGGAATGTACCAGACCATCCTCATGTGGAGCTGTTGCAGGATATGCGGCCAGGAGACGCAAGCGTTCCCGATGTCTGAATGGAGTTGGAGATATTCCTTCGCGAAGTATCTCGAATTGACTTTCTGGAGCACCAAGCTGCATCCGCGAGCAGGCATATGTCCACACGACATCCACAAGGATCACGTCCGCTACTTTGGCTACAACAATGTTGCTCTTCGTATCCAGTACGATCCCGTACCAATGTACGAAGTTATTGCACCAAAACCAAACGTGACCTGGAAGGTGGACAGCGATCTGAGATTGAAGAACAGTCAGTATTCGATGATCGAAGAGAAGTTGGACTGCTTCATGGACTCACTTCGCGCCCGTATTCAGGGAATACATGTTGAAGATGTCATTCCAGAGAAGGTAGATCTGTGTCGGAAGGAAGTTGAGATACTTCTGAAGCGCGCAAACGAAGAACACGAGTGGCTGAAGGCCAAGCTTCAAGACAAGTACATGAATTCCAAGTACTACGAAATCATCCCCATGAACCGCGCAATTCGCGCGATTCAGGAGAAGGCTATTGCCTGGGATGTGACGTTTTTGGAGTTTGAGCAGCAGTTCTTCCCGTCTGAGCGGGACATTAGGAGGTACGCGAATATGCAACTGAAGAGATTTCTGGAGCGCGACGAGTCCACGAGCTCGTTGGCGTCTGTCGATGAAGGCACCGAATCAGGTGCAGATGATTCATATATCGATGAGAAAGACGAGTCAATTGCTCTGTCGCCTAGACCTTCTAACATGTCGCCTGAGATGGCGCGCGACATGTTGAGCTCCGTCGTCAAAGAAGAGAGCGCAGCTAGCGACCAACCAGTCAATGGAGAAGAGCAGACATCTGAGCCTAGGACGCCCACTCCTCCCAAAACTAATTTGGACTTACCAATTCAAACCCCACGCGAGGCACTGGAGCGAGAGGACGTCCGTCATTTGGATCTGGCGGTGCCTTCCAACTACCCCGAAACTTCTACAACTACCAGTGAAGAACTGACCAAAACTCCCACTGCTGCCTCCGATCCAAGCAAGTTCGATGAGGGGTCGCCTACACCCACTAGTCTTCCCAAAGTCAACCCGATCGACAAATCGCTTGCGGAAGCTATCGAAAACATGCCTAGTAGTCCATCTCCGTTGCCGTCAGCTTTGACTCCAACAACAGAGAGCAAGATACCGCGACTGGTCGAAACCGGTCGACGTGAGACACCAGCCAGGCCGACATCACTCGTTAGGACACAGTCCCAACCTGGAAATATCGCGAAGCATCTTGGTCCTTTCCCAGGCTCGACCACTGTCAATAACGGGCCTACCAGTCCAAAGCCGAACGCAAACGATTCTTCGAAAGCTTTTGAGCGTATGACTGAGCGACTTGGGCTGGGATTGACCACGCCAAAACAATCCAAAGCCTCATCCCGAATACCTCGTTCGATTCCCTACAAGAGTCAGAACAAAGTATCGAAGATTGCACAACATTTTGAACAGCTATCACGAGAGTTTCAAAACCAGCGTATGCGTGAGCGGCGTAACGATCGAGCCAGACAAGTGCGCGCGTTCCCACTTGCTTCTTCTAAACCGGTTGTTGAGGTATATAAGAACGTACATGACGCGGTTCAAGAAAATGAGGATTCTGACGAAGACATACGTACTCCAACCCCTCCACGGGCGAGCCTGGACAATAGCACACTTGGTGATAGCACCCTTACGGAGCGTACGGACGATACAACAACGGCCTCGCAGTCGCCAGTCGAGGAGCGTCATCCCCAGGACGCTATGGCTCAACTTCCAAGCAGTGACGAGTCACCCAAGTCTCCAAGTCACTTTCCGTCAGATACAGAGAACGACATTAGTGATACAGAGATTACACCCGAAGATATCCCTCTGCCAGAAAGTCTTTCGGGTTCCAAGCTTTTGGATTTGAGTGACTCGCAGCTAGAGAATTCCCTTGAGCTGCCCAAACATGAGAAGAACACCCTTCTCAAAATTCTTACCAGCTTCTGGTCCGAGCGCTCAGCAAGTGGATGGACACCACTTGAGTATCCTTTCTCGCAGATTGAACATGTTTGGGAGAACTCCGATATCATTATTCGAGAAGACGAGCCTAGCTCCATCATCGCATTGGCGCTGTCGTGTCCAGATTACGTTGCTAAGCGGCAGAATTTTCGCGATGACAACCCAGCGGGCAATGGTGTGATGGAGACGTTTGAAGAATCAGTCGAACGTAATCTTCTACATGAGGAAAACCACAACATCCGCTACAGTTTCACCAATCGCGGAGTTAAAGCGCACTGCAAGATATTCTATGCCCAGTCCTTTGATGCCCTTCGCCGCAAATGCGGTGTAGCAGAACGTTTTGTTGAGTCTCTATCCCGCTGTTCGAAGTGGGACTCCAAGGGCGGGAAATCCAAGTCGATCTTTCTGAAGACGCTCGACGACCGCTTCGTCCTCAAGTCACTCTCTCCAGTTGAAGTGCAAGCCTTCTTCAAGTTTGGCCCCAACTACTTTGCTTTCACGCATCAGAACCTCTTCAAGTCATTGCCTAGTGTTATCGCCAAGATGTTCGGTCTTTTCCAAGTCCAGATCAAGACACCCACAGGTCGAGACTTTGATTGGTACATGTTGGTCATGGAGAATCTGTTCTATGACCGTGAACCCAACCGCCGTTACGATTTGAAAGGTAGCATGCGCAACCGCAAAATCCAAGCCACAGGCGAACGCGACGAAGTTCTTCTTGATGAGAATCTTGTCGACATCATATATTCTGAGACACCTATTTTCGTCCGTGAGCACACCAAGAAACTACTTAAAGCCAGCGTCTTCAACGACACGCTCTTCCTATCGCAAAACAACGTCATGGATTACTCTCTCATGGCAGGCTTCGACGACACCCAACGCGAGATCATCGTGGGTATTATTGATTGTATCCGTACTTATACTTGGGACAAAAAGCTGGAGAGCTGGATCAAGGACCGCGGCAAGAACAAGCCTACCATTACGTCACCTCGTGATTATCGTAATAGGTTCCGGATTGCTATGGAGAAGTACATTCTCCAGGCGCCTAACTGCTGGCATCAGTTCAGTGGCAGACTCGTTGGGCAGGGTGTTGATGGACGGAGGGCGTTGGTTGAGGGAAGGAGCAGTATGGAGGGTGGGCATAAGAGAGGCGTTAGTGGTAGCAGTGCAGGAGGAGCGAGCACTGTGAGGGATATGGGACGCACGCTAGCTTTTGGTGGAGAAGGCCGTAATGCTCGGAGAGCTTAATGAGATCAGACTGATATGGCTACGGGTCGTTTGGCTAGCGCGGCGCTGGGGTAATGAACTCTGATTCCGATCATACTTTTTGTTACAAGCTAAGTTGGAAAGTACGTTCTTATACAAAATTATACAATTGCATACTGCTGCCACTATATTCGCTCTTTCCTCAGCCCCTCACCTAATACGCCAACAACACCCTCCACATCTCCCATCTTGTCCTTCCCCTCCCTTTCCACAACATCAGCCAACCCCTGAAACACACTTGCAATCTCCCTGAAAACCTTCGCGTCGCCCTTCCACCCACCTTCCTCTTCAAAACACGCTCCAATCTGATTCATCTCCTCCACCCAACGATACGCTTTCCCCGTGCATCCCACAACACTCCTCTCCGCCCTCTGCCTCGCACCAATGTTGTATACGTCCATGTACTCGAGTAGCGGGTTCAGCACCCCAAGGGACGACGCGGTAGTAAAAGATTGCAAAGCCAACGCCGTGAAACCTTTCGACAGCGCCGCGAAACAGCATTTCAGGCCTGATGCTGTACCGATTTCTGCGCCGAGATACCGTGTATTCAGCACTTCTGCCAAATACGTACCGGATACTGGTGCTGAATGAAGAGGATGCGGACCTGATAAGGGAATATCAGGTCTTTTCCACCCATTTGTTTCTGTTTCTGATGGCGATGGTGGCCCGCCAATGATGCCACCGTCGACGAACCGCAAGCCCGGTGCATTCTGCTCAAATGATCTTGCCACTGTTTTCACTGTGGAGGGGCTAATAGCGTTTAAATCCAGGTAGTAAAGTAGTTTTCCTCCTCTGTCACGTCCGTTTGCCAGTGCGACTTCCACACGTTTTGCTGTTGCGATGGCGTCGCGGGGTGGCACGATACTAAGGATATAGTCGCAACTGCGGACTAGTTCTTCGTCTGTGTCAAACAGCTCAATTCCCGCAGACTCGGCACGGGATTTGGTTGCGTCGCTGCGAGCACTGATGTTTGTGATCACGCGGTAGTGATGTGCTTTGAGAAGTTGGGCGATGCCTAGGCCCATTTGGCCGATTGAGAGAATACCTATTGTTGTGGACATTTCGTGACAGATGGCTGATAGTTGTGAGATTGAAGAGATTGGACTATGGGTTGTGTTGTAGGTACTGTGAGGATGATGACGAAGTGGGGGATGTATGGTGGGGTAAATGTCGATGGGACCTTTAACGCAGAGTGGTTAGTGGAGTGTAGGGGGGGACTTCAAAGTTCAAGATCTCATAGCTTTCGGATAAGACTTTTAGCACGATAGTGGTGATATACAGAGCTACGATTGTCTTCATTCATCAATATTGTCTGTTGTTTCTACTCCGACATCCTCTGCGACTATGTTTAGAGCGATCCTCCTCTAACGTCCAGATCCTCAGAATGGCTTCAACAGGTTCAAATCATGAGTTTCAACTTGATAGCCATCAGCCTGGTAGCCGCTAGTAAAGTAAGATGCCGCCTGCGTATTTCCCTTCATAGTCCATAACATCCAGTTGAGAATGGCCTTGCCAAATCGGCCGCCGTTTGCGTCACCTAGTGTACCACCATGGCCAACAGGAATGTTACCCTTCCATGATGGAACACCCTGCGCAAGATTTTTGAAGTCGCGTTCGCCCTTTATCTCGTGTTAGTCTACATGCCAGGAATGAAGAGAGGGTGAGTATGGCAAAACTCACGTTCTGGAATGCAATGTCGCCCTGACCACCCAGTACAAAAAGTACGGGCTTCCTCCAGTCTCTAGCTGCGCTAGTGTTTGAAAGCAGACCTGAACTGATCACTCCGATTGTGTCAACGCGGCTATCCCAAATGTTGTCGATAGCCTCAACACCACCACACGAGAATCCTGCCGCCATGATCTTGCTCGCATCGACATTAGCGTACGCGCCCTTTCCAGCATTGTTGGTAACCCAGTCAATGGCTTGCTTCATGGTCTGCGCATTTGAAGAACCTCCACCATTGGGACCGCCCTCCGCGATAGCCAGGAAGCCATAGCTGGCAATGTTCTGCAAGAGAGCGGAGTTAGAGCGGCCGTCAGTGCTGCATGCTCCGTTGCCCCAGACGAGAACAGGAAGCTTTTCGGAACCGGTGTTCTTGGTTGGGTAGTAGATCGTGTGGCCCTGGAGAGAGTTGTCGGTCTTGTATGTGCCGGGTGCGTATGGGCCTGCTCCGCTACCTTGCTGTCGGGCCTCTATGTTGAGTGGAGATGCGACAGCGGTGTCCAAAGTAAGCGCCACAATGGCGAGAGTCAATGTGTACTTCATACTGTTCGAGATGCGATGCAACCAAGGTATTTGCGAGCTGATCTGAGGAGTGATGCGGATGACTGAGTCAAGTACAGAGCAACTTATATAGTCGAGAACGCTCCTGTTTTGAGTATGCTAATAAGCCCATGCGCATCTTTCTTCATTTTGTCTAAGCTGGTGACAGCACACTCTTTTGAATTTGCAACCGTTTTGATTGCGAGGGGATAAAATCATCGCACCAACTACCAATGAACTCTCCATACGTATATTCGTTCGGTCCTTTTTCGTCTGAGATGACGCCTGAATCTGGCAGAACCCTTCATATAGGCCCGGGATCAAGATGTTTTGTGTGAAAACACAAACCATTTTCTGTTAGGGAAACGTGCGCTAATTGGGCGCGAGTGCTTCATCTTAATATGTTGTGGATGGAAACAGTCTTGGCCGGTGGTTAAGCTCGCTAGCTGGTCACCGGATGAGAGCTTCGGGAGCGAAACGCAAGATCTCGCATCGGGTGATTGTGTCGATTGCGGGGAGGGGCATCGCGTATCGATACTCTAATATCGGCTGCTACCCAGGTACAAGCATTGCTTTTAGGCGAGGTGGTGTCGAGTATATTTCCGTTCGCATAAGGAGGGAGAGGCTTGGGGGGCTTGTGTCTGGCGGTTACGTCATTTTGCTAGTGCGTACTAGCAGAAATTCCCGGCGCTCGGTGATGACGCTGGAAGAGTTGAGTGTTCGTCAAGCTAAACCTGGTGTCGAGAATGGAAGTAGAGGGCAGATCATTCACCCTGAACGCTATGGCGTTACGATCGTTGTCAGCTCCTTCACCAGATTGGACTATGAGGCCTCGTAAAACTCATCCGTTCTCAGCCGCCGCTAGATCTGGAATTTCATCTATATAATCTTATAAAACGCTTTCGCCCTAGAATTGTATGTACAAGCGCGCCACACCGCTCGTGTATAGAGATGCGAACCCTGGTGGACGCGACTGAAGCTACGCAATACTTCATAAAGATGCGCCATTTCCCCTCAAATCGAAATCTCTCTTTCCTCGATTCCATAGCTTCGTCTTGTTTCACGGTTTCCCAAGCTCTTTCCCATTTCTTCAAGCCGCTGCCTTATCGCGAAATAGCCTACTGGTTTGGACAGTATTCATCAACCGCCCTATTGGCACAGTCACTGCCTCCATGCTGCCAACACTGACTGTCCCAGCTATTGATAGCCAAAAACGTACTGTAGAAACATTGATCCATGTACTTCGTCTCGTTCTCACAGCGGGACAAACAACGAGGACAGTATCTCTTGTAGCCACCAGCTTCAGCCTCACAAATCTCCAGCGATGTCGTTGGAGTGGGTGTGGGTGTCTGGCTAGCGCTCGTTACGGAGCTGCTAGTCGCAGATGGCGTTGGGACTATACCATAGTTTTGTTCGATACAGTAAGAATTTCCTGAAACGAGGTTGCAGCCATCTACTAGACTTGGGTTCTGTTCGACGAATTAGCATGAGAGGAGTGCGTCTTGCTGGATTTCAGTCGTACGTATGTCTTGAACTGCACTTCTGTTATGCCCCAGTATTCACTTATACCGGCACATGTGTCTGTCTCTGTAGCGACCTGCCACCATGTGCAGTTCGAGATGGTATCTGGAGATGCGGTAGTCGGAGGGTCGGTTTCGTATGCTCTGATAAGCAGCGGAAGCAGGGCGAGGCCAAGAGTGAATGAAGCTACCATGATGTGTAATTGATGGTTGTAAGATTTGCTCTGAACTAACAGGAGGACGAGTAGGATGCGTCCAGAAGTGTGGAAGACGGAATCGCCTTATACGATTGAGAAACATGTACTCAGAGTTGGCGGCCTTACGCGTAGACAGTGAGCTGCCTGTGCGGTATCTTAGCCGCACAACACGTGCTAGGCTACCATCGAGGCCGATGAACAAGCACCTGGAAAGTGCCATGCAAAAACTCGTTTTCTATGCAAAAAGAGGAAAGTTTGCCGGATCGGGTAGTTAGATGCCTAGCAGGAACAATGAACTCACATGGTCACGGCTCCTTGGACGCCTGATGGCCAGGAAAATATATGTTCTAGACATGAGAGATGTAGGAGGCCTCGAAAGCCTTAGATTTTGTGCCATTGGAACTGACATAACGCAGCTGTGGATAAGGCGGCAAACGCTACTGATGATCCTCATTTCACTAGGCCTAGCGTACAGCGAGGGCGTCACTTCTAATGCCAGCCTAGAGACTTCGAACTGTTCAAAGGTGCTCCATCCAATTATCATGTCAGATTTTTGCTGCAGTAGCAACCACAAAAGAGCTATTAGCCAGCATGATCAATTCCATCAGCATGTCGCAAGACGGTCGTCCCTGCTCCGTCTATCTAGACCCCACCGCGCTGTGTCCCACCAGTCTTCTTCCAGATCAGCATTCCCAAGGCAAAACTCGCAAACCAAAACACCACATTCAAGAAACCGAAAGCTTGCGCAGCATTCCATCTGCTGCATGATCCATTCCGCAAACCCATCTCATTCCAAGCCCAGGTACTGCCACAAGACATAGCATTCGTGTACCAATCTTGCAGTAAACCAAACACAGCACACCATGCGCTGCAGAAGAGAACATCGCCAACTACATTCACAATATGCGAAGTAGTGGGAAGAAGCCAGATCAGCGATGCGATGATCGATACAATGGCTATGATGGTGCTATAGACGAGGCGCCCGTACGAGCCGCTATGGTCCTTGTGCTGTTGGTGATACAGGAGGTAAGATGTTATGGCGAGTACGACGGCTGCACAGACAGATTGCGCAAAGCGCAAGGTCATGGAGATAAGCCGGGAGATGATCATTGTGCTTTGTTCGAGAACGAAGGCTTGAACCTGCTGTCTTGTAAGTAATATTGGGGGTTGAGATGGACGGTAGTCAGCGAGATCGTTGGAGGCGTTAACATTCAAGTTTCGCAGAAGAGGTATAATCTCTATATTTCGCCCGCAGATTGCGAACAATTTGCCTTGTACGATCAGCTTCGATCGCAGAGCCAAACGCACCCACTCGAAATTGATCGGTGACTACATGTGAATGTAGGATGAAGTTAAAGTTTAGTGCTGTTGCTTCCATCTACATAGCCATGGACCAATGACTTTTCTTCTGACATCTGTGATATTTGACGTACCATCAAACTACCAATATAGCACTCATACCTGGGGTGAATCATTATTCCAACGCGTCATAAATGCCCTTCTCCGCCATGAACCACGCAGGAATAACTTTGGGATCTCCATTGGGCAACACTTGCGATGCGAGCATTCCCGCAATCCCCTTCTCTCTGTCAACCCACCAGAAACAATTACACAGACCCATCCACCACAACGTGTTTGCTCCACGACCAGACGGGCCAGGCTCGATAGTGATGAAGCCGCCAAAGCCCCAACCTTGAGGAGGGTTGCCAGGCTGAGGATACATATCCGCGGCTTGATTGACCAGCGAAGGGTCTGCAGGTGGGACATTGGCGCGTGCGAAATCGGGTTGAGAGGGAATTTGGTTCTCCCACATGAGATCCACTGACTCTTTCTTAAGGATGCGGTTCTGTGTTTGTGGATTTGTTCCATCGTTCAATAGAGCAGCAAGAACTTTTGTGTACTCGCTTGGCCTCGACCAAAGTCCTGCACCACCAGATTGGAGGAAGTCTTTTTGATTTTCCTTGGCGCAGGAAAGTGGACCGTCGTAAAGGTGTTCGCGTTTCTTGAGCGTGCCGTCGGTGTCACGTTGGTGCATATGTGCTAGGTTCTTTTGAGCTTCTTTGGAAGGGAACATGGATGCGCCCTCTGCGGCGATGCCCACGGGCGTGAAGATGTGCTCTTGGAAGTATTCGCCCAGCGTTTGACCAGTAACGCGCTCGAGAACGATACCTGCCCAGTCCATATTAATGCCGTATTCCCACATGCTACCTGGCTGGTTCACCATCTTCGAGTCAAGGATATCGCGCTTGTTGCCGCTCCTCCCTTCGATGCCGTCCGCTTGGAGCCTCGGGTCAGCGAATGCATATCCAAATCCTGCTGTATGGCTCAACAGCATGCGCATCGTGACACTCTTCTCTTGCTCGACGCCGTTGACACCATCGGCATACACCTTCTTTTCAGATAGTTCCGGCACAGTTTTCTTGACGAATTCAGCATCATCCAAAGGAACCTTGCCTTGCTCAACAAGCTGCAGCAGAGCAATGGCAGTGACGAGCTTTGTACACGATGCAATCCAGAATACCGTACTCTGAGTGTCTATGGGCTCACTGGAGTCCAAACCCAGTGTACCCGAAGCATGTTCGACAAGTGTTTTGCCCGATTTGTCGATGGCGTGGAAGGCAAGACCAGGTGAACCATCTTGAACAAAATGATCCAATGTGCCCTTGATACCTTCGACAGCCTTGGTGGAAAGAGGCATGATAGAATGGAGTTGTGTTCAAACGGTGATGTGAGAAGTTGAGTACAGAGAAGTATAGACATGATACGTGTTTCTCTTATAGCAGATTGTACCATGTACCGAGGGTAATAATGTTCCATTTCCTGTATTAGGCATGCTACGCTGCATCAAGACAAGAGTGGATAAAGTGCGCAACTCATTGTGCGAGAAGAATGCCTAGGGTCATGCGGGAGACCAATGACAGGTGATAAGCACGGATGACCGAGAAGAGCGAAGACTTAGAACGCTGTGTTATTGATATTGGACCTATCAGTCGTTTGTGCAGTCATGGTGGACGACTCTCGCTCGACCGCGCTACCCCGCAGCGGGGTATCAAGTCCGTTGTTTATAGAGTAGTGCGAATGCCAGGCGGAGAATAGTGCGCCAAGGATATGCGTCTACTGCTTTATCAAATGAAAAGACTTCCGAGCCAGCTCTTGTCTTGGTCCTTGTTGGTAGTATTGGCTAGCAGCTTATACACTCTCCAGTTCATGTGTTCAACGCTCGCTAGTGATTCAAGATAGCCACAATCTGGAGATGTAGACGAGTGTCTGTATGAACACCAGAGCA